CACCCCTTGGCTGCTGACCCCACGCAGCCGGGTACACGCGTGTCATTGCATCCGACGGCAAGTGCTGCTGGAACGAGTGGTTACCAAGCCTGCAGCAGGAGCAGCGGGAGCTCACCTCCGAGGGCCCCACCGGACTGGAGGGCCCAGGCGATGACGTGGGCACCCCCCTCAGGAACCTAGCGGCCTGTGAGCTGAGCGGACCTGTCGTGCCGCAGCACAGCACACTTGCTGCTACCAGCTTCGGGACCACTATCCTGCATCTCCAGACAGCAACGTCCTCTTCATTGTCATCCGTAGCAGCAGCAGTGCATGATTTTCAAGCCTATGCTCGCAGAGCGTTTCTGCAGGAACTGGGAGGCGGCGTGGGCTCCCCCCCCAGCAACCCACCAGAGCCGCCAAGCCCCTATCCACCAGTGCTGCCCAGTTCACTGCTCGTTCCATCCGTGCCACCAAGCTCTCCTCCGCCACCCAGTCCTCCTCCTCCGCCACCCAGTCCTCCTCCTACACCGCCAAGCTCACCTACGCCACCCAGTCCTGCACCTACGCCACCAAGCTCTGCTACACCACCCAGTCCTCCACCTACGCCACCCAATCCTCCACCTAGGCCGCCCATCCCACCACTACGGCCCAGTCCTCCTCCTCCGCCACCCAGTCCTCCACCTAGGCCACCCAGTCGTCCACCTCGGCCGCCTGCTCCTCCACCTTCACCACCCAGTCCACCAAAGCCGCCCAGTCCTCCACCTTCACCACCCAGTCCACCAAAGCCGCCCAGTCCTCCACCATTGCCACCCAGACCCCCACCTAGGCCGCCCAACCCTCCATGGCGCCCACGGCCCCCACCTAGGCCTCCCGCACCGCCACCCAGGCCACCTTGGCCGCCACTCTTACCGCCGTTCCCACCTCCTAGCCCTGTGCCACCCAGGCCCCCACCCCCTAGCCCTGTGCCACCCAGCCCCCCACCCCCTAGCCCCGTTCCACCCGCTCCACCACCTCCTAGCCCCGTCCCACCCGCTCCTCCACCTCCTAGCCCTGTACCTCCTTTTCCATTAAGTTGGTATCGTCCACCGCCGGCACCGCCTCCTAGCCCCGTGCCACCCATGCCTCCACCTCCTAGCCCCGTGCCGCCCATGGCACCACCTCGCAAGCCCCGCTCGCCCGGTCCACCTCGCCCACCGCCTCTACCGCCTCCACCACCTCCCAGCCCTCCCAGCCCTCCTAGCCCTCCCGGACCTCCTCAGCCGCCCCAGCCTCCACCTCCGCCCCAGCCGCCGCCCAAGCCACCGCCCCCACCCAAGCCGTCTCCCCCGCCCCCGCCACCATCTCCTTCCCCTCCCCCTTCACCTCCTACCCCTCCCACTCCACCTCCTTTCCCCCCTAGTCCCAGGAGGCCTCCATCACCGCCTCGTTACCCAAGGTACCCCCCTGACAAGCCGCCGGATCCCCCGAGCCCCGAGCCGCCACAGCCGCCACCCCGGCCCCCGCGCCCGCCCCCCAGTCCCCCCAAGCCAGTCAGACCGCCCTGGCCAAACAACCCTAATCGGCCGCCAAGACCACCTCGCCCACCCGGCCTACCTTTCCCGCCGCCTCCACCTCCTGGTCCGCCAATGCTGCCTGGCATACCCAGTTCTCCACCGCCCAGCCCAGTTCCACCCAATCCTCCTCCTCCCAGCCCTGTACCACCTATGCCGCCACCTCCGTGGGTAAAACCCCCAATGGCGCCTTTTAACCCCGCTCCACCCAGGCCACCACCTCCCAGCCCTGTTCCACCTAGGCCGCCGCCTCCAAGCCCTGTTCCACCTATGCCACCACCTCCGAGCCCCTTCCCACCCTCGCCACGCCCTCGTTCTCCAGGTCCACCCAACCCCCCCCCTAGATTCCCATGGATGCCACCTGACTTCCCGCTGTGGCCAGATTTTCCTACCAGACCTAATCCTATGAAACCTCAAAGGCCTTCATGGCCGCCGTTCTTTCCTGAGTACCCCCCTGATCCCCCTCCTCCTAGCCCGGAGCCCTCACCGCGCCCCCCAAAGCCCTCACCGCGCCCTCCTAAACCCTCACCGAACCCTCCGGACCCTCCTCAGCCGTCACCGCGCCCCCCAAAGCCCTCACCGCGCCCTCCTCGTCCCCCACCGCCCCCACCCCGCCGTCCGAAGCCACCGCCGCGGCCATCTGTCCCCTCGCCGCCCTCCAAGCCAGCCCCTCTTCTTCCCACGCTGCCTCCTGCAAACCCCGACCCGCCCCCTTCAAACCCCGAGCCGCCCCCTTCAAGTCCCGAGCCGCCCCCTCCAAGTCCCCCAACGAGTCCCGAGCCGCCCCCACCCAGCCCCTCTCCGCCCAGCCCCTCTCCGCCTAGCCCGCCTCCTCCTAGGCCCTCTCCGCCAATCCCTGAGCTGCCCAGCCCCTCTCCGCCAATCCTGCCTAGCCCGCCTCCCCCAAGCCCCTCTCCACCTAGCCCTCTTCCACCAAGCCCCTCTCCACCTAGCCCGCCTCCGCCAAGCCCACCCCCTCCGAGCCCCAGCCCTTTCACACCACCCTCAAGCCCCGGCCAGCCAAACCAAGCCCCTCCATGTGTATGCCCCACAAGCCCCGTCCTGCCAAGCCCAAGGTCATTGGCGTACAGCAGCACTACGGCAGGCCGACGTCTGCAAGAAGACGCTTCGCCACCAGCAGATGTCCCAGAGCCGCCGAGTCCAGAGCCACCTAGCCCCAAACCCCCGCGCCCGAGCCCTCCGCCGCCACGTCCACCATCCCCTTCCCCAAGACCGTCACCACCTCCACCGAAGCCACCCCGGCCGCCCCCACTCCAGCCAAGCCCTTACCCACCCAGTCCGACTGCTCAATCGCCTTCCCCGCCAAGTCCAAATCCCCCAACACCACCACCTATAACACCAAATCCACCCTCTCTACCGCCATCTCCACCACGAGTACCATACAGCCCCCAGCTGCCCCTCGGTCAACCACACTGGCCTATTGCACCACCCCCGACACCGCCAAGCCCCCCTCCACGTCCACCCGCTCCTCCTCCTGTGCCGCCTATACCCCCACCACCCCCGCCAAGCCCCTACCCACCAAGCCCAGCTCCGCCTAGCCCCACCCCACCCAACCCCAATCCACCTAGGCGCCCACGTAAACCTCCTACACCCCCTACAAGACCAACAGCACCTTACGCCTACTCTGATCCTCCCCAGGCGCCCGAGACTACTGCATCGCCCCCTGCCTTACCCAGCCCTAGACCTTTGTGTGTCTGCCCACCTATTGAGCCGGCCAGCTCGCCTACCCCGCTGTCGCCAAGCGCATACCCCAGTCCCATTCCATCACCTCCCAAAAGCCCCAATCCGGCTATTCCTCTTCAAAGCCCGCCACCCCCAAGCCCCTCTCCGCCAAGCCCTGAGCCGCCCAGCCCCTCTCCGCCTAGCCCGCCACCCCCAAGCCCCTCTCCGCCAAGCCCTGAGCCGCCCAGCCCCTCTCCGCCTAGCCCGCCTCCTCCAAGCCCCTCTCCGCCAAGCCCTGAGCCGCCTAGCCCGCCTCCTCCAAGCCCCTCTCCGCCAAGCCCTGAGCCGCCCAGTCCCTCTCCGCCTAGCCCCTCTCCTCCTAGCCCCTCTCCACCTACCCCGCCTCCGCCTAGCCCGCCTCCTCCAAGCCCTGAGCCGCCAAGCCCCTCTCCACCTACCCCGCCTCCGCCTAGCCCGCCTCCTCCAAGCCCCTCTCCGCCAAGCCCTGAGCCGCCAAGCCCCTCTCCACCTAGCCCGCCTCCGCCAAGCCCCTCTCCGCCAAGCCCTGAGCCGCCCAGTCCCTCTCCACCTAGCCCGCCTCCGCCAAGCCCCTCTCCTCCAAGCCCTGAGCCGCCCAGTCCCTCTCCGCCTAGCCCGCCTCCCCCAAGCCCCTCTCCTCCAAGCCCCTCTCCACCTACCCCGCCTCCGCCTAGCCCGCCTCCTCCAAGCCCCTCTCCGCTAAGCCCCTCTCCTCCTAGCCCGCCGCCCCCAAGCCCCTCTCCACCTAGCCCGCCTCGGCCAAGCCCACCTCCTCCGAGCCCCAGCCCTCTCACACCACCCTCAAGCCCCGGCCAGCCAAACCAAGCCCCTCCATGTGTATGCCCCACAAGCCCCGTCCTGCCAAGCCCAAGGTCATTGGCGTACAGCAGCACTACGGCAGGCCGACGTCTGCAAGAAGACGCTTCGCCACCAGCAGATGTCCCAGAGCCGCCGAGTCCAGAGCCACCTAGCCCCAAACCCCCGCGCCCGAGCCCTCCGCCGCCACGTCCACCATCCCCTTCCCCAAGACCGTCACCACCTCCACCGAAGCCACCCCGGTCGCCCCCACTCCAGCCAAGCCCTTACCCACCCAGTCCAACTCCTCAATCGCCTTCCCCGCCAAGTCCAAATCCCCCAACACCACCACCTATAACACCAAATCCACCCTCTCTACCGCCATCTCCACCACGAGTACCATACAGCCCCCAGCTGCCCCTCGGTCAACCACACTGGCCTATTGCACCACCCCCGACACCGCCAAGCCCCCCTCCACGTCCACCCGCTCCTCCTCCTGTGCCGCCTATACCCCCACCACCCCCGCCAAGCCCCTACCCACCAAGCCCAGCTCCGCCTAGCCCCACCCCACCCCACCCCAATCCACCTAGACGCCCACGTAAACCTCCTACACCCCCTACAAGACCAACAGCACCGTACGGCTACTCTGATCCTCCCCAGGCGCCCGAGACTACTGCACCGCCCCCTGCCTTACCCAGCCCTAGACCCTTGTGTGTCTGCCCACCTATTGAGCCGGCCAGCTCGCCTACCCCGCTGTCGCCAAGCGCATACCCCAGTCCCACTCCATCACCTCCCCAAAGCCCCAATCCGGCTATTCCTCTTCAAAGCCCGCCACCCCCAAGCCCCTCTCCGCCAAGCCCTGAGCCGCCCAGCCCCTCTCCGCCTAGCCCGCCACCCCCAAGCCCCTCTCCGCCAAGCCCTGAGCCGCCCAGCCCCTCTCCGCCTAGCCCGCCTCCTCCAAGCCCCTCTCCGCCAAGCCCTGAGCCGCCTAGCCCGCCTCCGCCAAGCCCCTCTCCGCCAAGCCCTGAGCCGCCCAGTCCCTCTCCGCCTAGCCCCTCTCCTCCAAGCCCCTCTCCACCTACCCCGCCTCCGCCTAGCCCGCCTCCTCCAAGCCCTGAGCCGCCAAGCCCCTCTCCACCTACCCCGCCTCCGCCTAGCCCGCCTCCTCCAAGCCCCTCTCCGCCAAGCCCTGAGCCGCCAAGCCCCTCTCCACCTAGCCCGCCTCCGCCAAGCCCCTCTCCGCCAAGCCCTGAGCCGCCCAGTCCCTCTCCACCTAGCCCGCCTCCGCCAAGCCCCTCTCCTCCAAGCCCTGAGCCGCCCAGTCCCTCTCCGCCTAGCCCGCCTCCCCCAAGCCCCTCTCCTCCAAGCCCCTCTCCACCTACCCCGCCTCCGCCTAGCCCGCCTCCTCCAAGCCCCTCTCCGCTAAGCCCCTCTCCTCCTAGCCCGCCGCCCCCAAGCCCCTCTCCACCTAGCCCGCCTCGGCCAAGCCCACCTCCTCCGAGCCCCAGCCCTCTCACACCACCCTCAAGCCCCGGCCAGCCAAACCAAGCCCCTCCATGTGTATGCCCCACAAGCCCCGTCCTGCCAAGCCCAAGGTCATTGGCGTACAGCAGCACTACGGCAGGCCGACGTCTGCAAGAAGACGCTTCGCCACCAGCAGATGTCCCAGAGCCGCCGAGTCCAGAGCCACCTAGCCCCAAACCCCCGCGCCCGAGCCCTCCGCCGCCACGTCCACCATCCCCTTCCCCAAGACCGTCACCACCTCCACCGAAGCCACCCCGGCCGCCCCCACTCCAGCCAAGCCCTTACCCACCCAGTCCAACTCCTCAATCGCCTTCCCCGCCAAGTCCAAATCCCCCAACACCACCACCTATAACACCAAATCCACCCTCTCTACCGCCATCTCCACCACGAGTACCATACAGCCCCCAGCTGCCCCTCGGTCAACCACACTGGCCTATTGCACCACCCCCGACACCGCCAAGCCCCCCTCCACGTCCACCCGCTCCTCCTCCTGTGCCGCCTATACCCCCACCACCCCCGCCAAGCCCCTACCCACCAAGCCCAGCTCCGCCTAGCCCCACCCCACCCCACCCCAATCCACCTAGACGCCCACGTAAACCTCCTACACCCCCTACAAGACCAACAGCACCGTACGGCTACTCTGATCCTCCCCAGGCGCCCGAGACTACTGCACCGCCCCCTGCCTTACCCAGCCCTAGACCCTTGTGTGTCTGCCCACCTATTGAGCCGGCCAGCTCGCCTACCCCGCCGTCTCCAAGCGCATACCCCAGTCCCACTCCATCACCTCCCCAAAGCCCCAATCCGGCTATTCCTCTTCAAAGCCCGCCACCCCCAAGCCCCTCTCCGCCAAGCCCTGAGCCGCCCAGCCCCTCTCCGCCTAGCCCGCCACCCCCAAGCCCCTCTCCGCCAAGCCCTGAGCCGCCCAGCCCCTCTCCGCCTAGCCCGCCTCCTCCAAGCCCCTCTCCGCCAAGCCCTGAGCCGCCTAGCCCGCCTCCTCCAAGCCCCTCTCCGCCAAGCCCTGAGCCGCCCAGTCCCTCTCCGCCTAGCCCCTCTCCTCCTAGCCCCTCTCCACCTACCCCGCCTCCGCCTAGCCCGCCTCCTCCAAGCCCTGAGCCGCCAAGCCCCTCTCCACCTACCCCGCCTCCGCCTAGCCCGCCTCCTCCAAGCCCCTCTCCGCCAAGCCCTGAGCCGCCAAGCCCCTCTCCACCTAGCCCGCCTCCGCCAAGCCCCTCTCCGCCAAGCCCTGAGCCGCCCAGTCCCTCTCCGCCTAGCCCGCCTCCCCCAAGCCCCTCTCCTCCAAGCCCCTCTCCACCTACCCCGCCTCCGCCTAGCCCTCCTCCGCCTAGCCCGCCTCCGCCTAGCCCGCCTCCTCCAAGCCCCTCTCCTCCTAGCCCGCCGCCCCCAAGCCCCTCTCCACCTAGCCCGCCTCCGCCAAGCCCACCCCCTCCGAGCCCCAGCCCTCTCACACCACCCTCAAGCCCCGGCCAGCCAAACCAAGCCCCTCCATGTGTATGCCCCACAAGCCCCGTCCTGCCAAGCCCAAGGTCATTGGCGTACAGCAGCACTACGGCAGGCAGACGTCTGCAAGAAGACGCTTCGCCACCAGCAGATGTCCCAGAGCCGCCGAGTCCAGAGCCACCTAGCCCCAAACCCCCGCGCCCGAGCCCTCCGCCGCCACGTCCACCATCCCCTTCCCCAAGACCGTCACCACCTCCACCGAAGCCACCCCGGCCGCCCCCACTCCAGCCAAGCCCTTACCCACCCAGTCCAACTCCTCAATCGCCTTCCCCGCCAAGTCCAAATCCCCCAACACCACCACCTATAACACCAAATCCACCCTCTCTACCGCCATCTCCACCACGAGTACCATACAGCCCCCAGCTGCCCCTCGGTCAACCACACTGGCCTATTGCACCACCCCCGACACCGCCAAGCCCCCCTCCACGTCCACCCGCTCCTCCTCCTGTGCCGCCTATACCCCCACCACCCCCGCCAAGCCCCTACCCACCAAGCCCAGCTCCGCCTAGCCCCACCCCACCCAACCCCAATCCACCTAGACGCCCACGTAAACCTCCTACACCCCCTACAAGACCAACAGCACCGTACGGCTACTCTGATCCTCCCCAGGCGCCCGAGACTACTGCACCGCCCCCTGCCTTACCCAGCCCTAGACCCTTGTGTGTCTGCCCACCTATTGAGCCGGCCAGCTCGCCTACCCCGCCGTCTCCAAGCGCATACCCCAGTCCCACTCCATCACCTCCCCAAAGCCCCAATCCGGCTACTCCTCTTCAAAGCCCGCCACCCCCAAGCCCCTCTCCGCCAAGCCCTGAGCCGCCCAGCCCCCCTCCGCCTAGCCCGCCCCCCCCAAGCCCCTCTCCGCCCAGCCCTGAGCCGCCTAGCCCCTCTCCGCCTAGCCCGCCTCCTCAAAGCCCCTCTCCGCCAAGCCCTGAGCCGCCTAGCCCGCCTCCTCCAAGCCCCTCTCCGCCAGGCCCTGAGCCGCCCAGTCCCTCTCCGCCTAGCCCCTCTCCTCCAAGCCCCTCTCCACCTACCCCGCCTCCGCCTAGCCCGCCTCCTCCAAGCCCTGAGCCGCCAAGCCCCTCTCCACCTACCCCGCCTCCGCCTAGCCCGCCTCCTCCAAGCCCTGAGTTGCCAAGCCCCTCTCCCCCAAGCCCCTCTCCACCTAGCCCGCCTCCGCCAAGCCCCTCTCCGCCAAGCCCTGAGCCGCCCAGTCCCTCTCCACCTAGCCCGCCTCCGCCAAGCCCCTCCCCTCCAAGCCCTGAGCCGCCCAGTCCCTCTCCGCCTAGCCCGCCTCCCCCAAGCCCCTCTCCTCCAAGCCCCTCTCCACCTACCCCGCCTCCGCCTAGCCCGCCTCCTCCAAGCCCCTCTCCGCTAAGCCCCTCTCCTCCTAGCCCGCCGCCCCCAAGCCCCTCTCCACCTAGCCCGCCTCCGCCAAGCCCACCTCCTCCGAGCCCCAGCCCTCTCACACCACCCTCAAGCCCCGGCCAGCCAAACCAAGCCCCTCCATGTGTATGCCCCACAAGCCCCGTCCTGCCAAGCCCAAGGTCATTGGCGTACAGCAGCACTACGGCAGGCAGACGTCTGCAAGAAGACGCTTCGCCACCAGCAGATGTCCCAGAGCCGCCGAGTCCAGAGCCACCTAGCCCCAAACCCCCGCGCCCGAGCCCTCCGCCGCCACGTCCACCATCCCCTTCCCCAAGACCGTCACCACCTCCACCGAAGCCACCCCGGCCGCCCCCACTCCAGCCAAGCCCTTACCCACCCAGTCCAACTCCTCAATCGCCTTCCCCGCCAAGTCCAAATCCCCCAACACCACCACCTATAACACCAAATCCACCCTCTCTACCGCCATCTCCACCACGAGTACCATACAGCCCCCAGCTGCCCCTCGGTCAACCACACTGGCCTATTGCACCACCCCCGACACCGCCAAGCCCCCCTCCACGTCCACCCGCTCCTCCTCCTGTGCCGCCTATACCCCCACCACCCCCGCCAAGCCCCTACCCACCAAGCCCAGCTCCGCCTAGCCCCACCCCACCCCACCCCAATCCACCTAGACGCCCACGTAAACCTCCTACACCCCCTACAAGACCAACAGCACCGTACGGCTACTCTGATCCTCCCCAGGCGCCCGAGACTACTGCACCGCCCCCTGCCTTACCCAGCCCTAGACCCTTGTGTGTCTGCCCACCTATTGAGCCGGCCAGCTCGCCTACCCCGCCGTCTCCAAGCGCATACCCCAGTCCCACTCCATCACCTCCCCAAAGCCCCAATCCGGCTACTCCTCTTCAAAGCCCGCCACCCCCAAGCCCCTCTCCGCCAAGCCCTGAGCCGCCCAGCCCCTCTCCGCCTAGCCCGCCACCCCCAAGCCCCTCTCCGCCCAGCCCTGAGCCGCCTAGCCCCTCTCCGCCTAGCCCGCCTCCTCAAAGCCCCTCTCCGCCAAGCCCTGAGCCGCCTAGCCCGCCTCCTCCAAGCCCCTCTCCGCCAGGCCCTGAGCCGCCCAGTCCCTCTCCGCCTAGCCCCTCTCCTCCAAGCCCCTCTCCACCTACCCCGCCTCCGCCTAGCCCGCCTCCTCCAAGCCCTGAGCCGCCAAGCCCCTCTCCACCTACCCCGCCTCCGCCTAGCCCGCCTCCTCCAAGCCCCTCTCCGCTAAGCCCCTCTCCTCCTAGCCCGCCGCCCCCAAGCCCCTCTCCACCTAGCCCGCCTCCGCCAAGCCCACCTCCTCCGAGCCCCAGCCCTCTCACACCACCCTCAAGCCCCGGCCAGCCAAACCAAGCCCCTCCATGTGTATGCCCCACAAGCCCCGTCCTGCCAAGCCCAAGGTCATTGGCGTACAGCAGCACTACGGCAGGCAGACGTCTGCAAGAAGACGCTTCGCCACCAGCAGATGTCCCAGAGCCGCCGAGTCCAGAGCCACCTAGCCCCAAACCCCCGCGCCCGAGCCCTCCGCCGCCACGTCCACCATCCCCTTCCCCAAGACCGTCACCACCTCCACCGAAGCCACCCCGGCCGCCCCCACTCCAGCCAAGCCCTTACCCACCCAGTCCAACTCCTCAATCGCCTTCCCCGCCAAGTCCAAATCCCCCAACACCACCACCTATAACACCAAATCCACCCTCTCTACCGCCATCTCCACCACGAGTACCATACAGCCCCCAGCTGCCCCTCGGTCAACCACACTGGCCTATTGCACCACCCCCGACACCGCCAAGCCCCCCTCCACGTCCACCCGCTCCTCCTCCTGTGCCGCCTATACCCCCACCACCCCCGCCAAGCCCCTACCCACCAAGCCCAGCTCCGCCTAGCCCCACCCCACCCCACCCCAATCCACCTAGACGCCCACGTAAACCTCCTACACCCCCTACAAGACCAACAGCACCGTACGGCTACTCTGATCCTCCCCAGGCGCCCGAGACTACTGCACCGCCCCCTGCCTTACCCAGCCCTAGACCCTTGTGTGTCTGCCCACCTATTGAGCCGGCCAGCTCGCCTACCCCGCCGTCTCCAAGCGCATACCCCAGTCCCACTCCATCACCTCCCCAAAGCCCCAATCCGGCTATTCCTCTTCAAAGCCCGCCACCCCCAAGCCCCTCTCCGCCAAGCCCTGAGCCGCCTAGCCCCTCTCCGCCTAGCCCGCCTCCTCCAAGCCCCTCTCCGCCAAGCCCTGAGCCGCCTAGCCCGCCTCCTCCAAGCCCCTCTCCGCCAAGCCCTGAGCCGCCTAGCCCGCCTCCTCCAAGCCCCTCTCCACCTACCCCGCCTCCGCCTAGCCCGCCTCCTCCAAGCCCCCCTCCGCCAAGCCCTGCGCCGCCCAGCCCCTCTCCGCCTAGCCCGCCACCCCCAAGCCCCTCTCCGCCCAGCCCTGAGCCGCCTAGCCCCTCTCCGCCTAGCCCGCCTCCTCAAAGCCCCTCTCCGCCCAGCCCTGAGCCGCCTAGCCCCTCTCCGCCTAGCCCGCCTCCTCAAAGCCCCTCTCCGCCAAGCCCTGAGCCGCCTAGCCCCTCTCCGCCTAGCCCGCCACCCCCAAGCCCCTCTCCGCCCAGCCCTGAGCCGCCTAGCCCCTCTCCGCCTAGCCCGCCTCCTCAAAGCCCCTCTCCGCCAAGCCCTGCGCCGCCTAGCCCGCCTCCTCCAAGCCCCTCTCCGCCAGGCCCTGAGCCGCCCAGTCCCTCTCCGCCTAGCCCCTCTCCTCCAAGCCCCTCTCCACCTACCCCGCCTCCGCCTAGCCCGCCTCCTCCAAGCCCTGAGCCGCCAAGCCCCTCTCCACCTACCCCGCCTCCGCCTAGCCCGCCTCCTCCAAGCCCCTCTCCGCTAAGCCCCTCTCCTCCTAGCCCGCCGCCCCCAAGCCCCTCTCCACCTAGCCCGCCTCCGCCAAGCCCACCTCCTCCGAGCCCCAGCCCTCTCACACCACCCTCAAGCCCCGGCCAGCCAAACCAAGCCCCTCCATGTGTATGCCCCACAAGCCCCGTCCTGCCAAGCCCAAGGTCATTGGCGTACAGCAGCACTACGGCAGGCAGACGTCTGCAAGAAGACGCTTCGCCACCAGCAGATGTCCCAGAGCCGCCGAGTCCAGAGCCACCTAGCCCCAAACCCCCGCGCCCGAGCCCTCCGCCGCCACGTCCACCATCCCCTTCCCCAAGACCGTCACCACCTCCACCGAAGCCACCCCGGCCGCCCCCACTCCAGCCAAGCCCTTACCCACCCAGTCCAACTCCTCAATCGCCTTCCCCGCCAAGTCCAAATCCCCCAACACCACCACCTATAACACCAAATCCACCCTCTCTACCGCCATCTCCACCACGAGTACCATACAGCCCCCAGCTGCCCCTCGGTCAACCACACTGGCCTATTGCACCACCCCCGACACCGCCAAGCCCCCCTCCACGTCCACCCGCTCCTCCTCCTGTGCCGCCTATACCCCCACCACCCCCGCCAAGCCCCTACCCACCAAGCCCAGCTCCGCCTAGCCCCACCCCACCCCACCCCAATCCACCTAGACGCCCACGTAAACCTCCTACACCCCCTACAAGACCAACAGCACCGTACGGCTACTCTGATCCTCCCCAGGCGCCCGAGACTACTGCACCGCCCCCTGCCTTACCCAGCCCTAGACCCTTGTGTGTCTGCCCACCTATTGAGCCGGCCAGCTCGCCTACCCCGCCGTCTCCAAGCGCATACCCCAGTCCCACTCCATCACCTCCCCAAAGCCCCAATCCGGCTATTCCTCTTCAAAGCCCGCCACCCCCAAGCCCCTCTCCGCCAAGCCCTGAGCCGCCTAGCCCCTCTCCGCCTAGCCCGCCTCCTCCAAGCCCCTCTCCGCCAAGCCCTGAGCCGCCTAGCCCGCCTCCTCCAAGCCCCTCTCCGCCAAGCCCTGAGCCGCCTAGCCCGCCTCCTCCAAGCCCCTCTCCACCTACCCTGCCTCCGCCTAGCCCGCCTCCTCCAAGCCCCCCTCCGCCAAGCCCTGAGCCGCCCAGTCCCTCTCCGCCTAGCCCCTCTCCCCCAAGACCCTCTCCACCTACCCCGCCTCCGCCTAGCCCGCCTCCTCCAAGCCCCTCTCCGCTAAGCCCCTGTCCTCCTAGCCCGCCGCCCCCAAGCCCCTCTCCACCTAGCCCTACTTCGCCAAGCCCACCTCCTCCGAGCCCCAGCCCTCTTACACCACCCTCAAGCCCCGGCCAGCCAAACCAAGCCCCTCCATGTGTATGCCCCACAAGCCCCGTCCTGCCAAGCCCAAGGTCATTGGCGTACAGCAGCACTACGGCAGGCCGACGTCTGCAAGAAGACGCTTCGCCACCAGCAGATGTCCCAGAGCCGCCGAGTCCAGAGCCACCTAGCCCCAAACCCCCGCGCCCGAGCCCTCCGCCGCCACGTCCACCATCCCCTTCCCCAAGACCGTCACCACCTCCACCGAAGCCACCCCGGCCGCCCCCACTCCAGCCAAGCCCTTACCCACCCAGTCCAACTCCTCAATCGCCTTCCCCACCAAGTCCAAATCCCCCAACACCACCACCTATAACACCAAATCCACCCTCTCTACCGCCATCTCCACCACGAGTACCATACAGCCCCCAGCTGCCCCTCGGTCAACCACACTGGCCTATTGCACCACCCCCGACACCGCCAAGCCCCCCTCCACGTCCACCCGCTCCTCCTCCTGTGCCGCCTATACCCCCACCACCCCCGCCAAGCCCCTACCCACCAAGCCCAGCTCCGCCTAGCCCCACCCCACCCAAGCCCAATCCACCTAGACGCCCACGTAAACCTCCTACACCCCCTACAAGACCAACAGCACCGTACGGCTACTCTGATCCTCCCCAGGCGCCCGAGACCACTGCATCGCCCCCTGCCTTACCCAGCCCTAGACCCTTGTGTGTCTGCCAACCTATTGAGCCGGCCAGCTCGCCTACCCCGCTGTCGCCAAGCGCATACCCCAGTCCTACTCCATCACCTCCCCAAAGCCCCAATCCGGCTATTCCTCTTCAAAGCCCGCCACCCCCAAGCCCCTCTCCGCCAAGCCCTGAGCCGCCTAGCCCCTCTCCGCCTAGCCCGCCTCCTCCAAGCCCCTCTCCGCCAAGCCCTGAGCCGCCCAGTCCCTCTCCACGTACCCCGCCACCTCCAAGCCCTTCTTCGCCCAGCCCTGAGCCGCCTAGCCCGCCTCCTCCAAGCCCCTCTCCACCTACCCTGCCTCCGCCTAGCCCGCCTCCTCCAAGCCCCTCTCCGCCAAGCCCTGAGCCGCCCAGTCCCTCTTCGCATAGCTCCTCTCCTCCAAGCCCCTCTCCTCCAAGCCCCTCTCCGCCAAGCCCCTCTCCTCCAAGCCCTTCTCTGCCAAGCCCTGAGCCGCCAAGCCCCTCTCCTCCAAGCCCTTCTCCGCCAAGCCCTGAGCCGCCCAGTCCCTCTCCGCCTAGCCCCTCTCCTCCAAGCCCCTCTCCTCCAAGCCCCTCTCCACCTACCCCGCCTCCGCCTAGCCCGCCTCCTCCAAGCCCCTCTCCGCTAAGCCCCTCTCCGCCAAGCCCCTCTCCTCCAAGCCTTTCTCCGCCAAGCCCTGAGCCGCCAAGCCCCTCTCCACCTAGCCCGCCTCCGCCAAGCCCCTCTCCGCCAAGCCCTGAGCCGCCCAGTCCCTCTCCGCCTAGCCCCTCTCCTCCAAGCCCCTCTCCTCCAAGCCCCTCTCCACCTACCCCGCCTCCGCCTAGTCCCTCTCCTCCAAGCCCCTCTCCACCTACCCCGCCTCCGCCTAGCCCGCCTCCTCCAAGCCCCTCTCCACCTAGCCCTCCTCCGCCAAGCCCACCTCCTCCGAGCCCCAGCCCTCTCACACCACCCTCAAGCCCCGGCCAGCCAAACCAAGCCCCTCCATGTATATGCCCCACAAGCCCCGTCCTGCCAAGCCCAAGGTCATTGGCGTACAGCAGCACTACGGCAGGCAGACGTCTGCAAGAAGACGCTTCGCCACCAGCAGATGTCCCAGAGCCGACGAGTCCAGAGCCACCTAGCCCCAAACCCCCGCGCCCGAGCCCTCCGCCGCCACATCCACCATCCCCTTCCCCAAGACCGTCACCACCTCCACCGAAGCCACCCCGGCCGCCCCCACTCCAGCCAAGCCCTTACCCACCCAGTCCAACTCCTCAATCGCCTTCCCCGCCAAGTCCAAATCCACCAACACCATCACCAATACCACCAAATCCACCCTCTCTACCGCCATCTCCACCACGAGTACCATACAGCCCCCAGCTGCCCCTCGGTCAACCACACTGGCCTATTGCACCACCCCCGACACCGCCAAGCCCCCCTCCACGTCCACCCGCTCCTCCTCCTGTGCCGCCTATACCCCCACCACCCCCGCCAAGCCCCTACCCACCAAGCCCAGCTCCGCCTAGCCCCACCCCACCCAACCCCAATCCACCTAGACGCCCTCGTAAGCCTCCTACACCCCCTATAAGACCAACAACACCGTACGGCTATTCTGATCCTCCCCAGGCGCCCGAGACTACTGCACCGCCCCCTGCCTTACCCAGCCCTAGACCCTTGTGCGTCTGCCCACCTATTGAGGCAGCCAGCTCGCCTACCCCTGAGCAGCAGCCACCAAGTCCACCGCCGCCTTTTGACTGTGAGGCTCCTGCCAGCCAAGCAAGCTTCGCACTTTCTTCCACCTCGTTTGGACCCTTTTATATTGCCCTAGCCATTCCCACCTCTTCTGCGACCTTTTGCAGCATATGCACGTGCGCGGTATCTTACGCGATGCTGCCTAGCGGGTCTTCATTGGTGTACCCCGTAAGTGGCAACACCAAGGACACCAGCAATTCATCAAGTAGCCCCGCAGCAGCTGCCGGAAGGCGCCGTGTGTTGCCTGAATCGGGAGAAGCAGCGTCATCGACGACAACGTCTTTGTTCAACTTGATAGCACTTGGCGATAGCAATACAGGAAGCTTGAAGGTGCGTCACCACAGATCCGTTTCTCTTGCAGTGTAGGGTTGGGTTCATCACCCGTGTTCCCTTCTACGGAACAATTGTAGCGCAGCTGTAAGTGCAGGTGGACACCTGCTGGTAATATTGTACCACTGTACTGGTGTTATTATGCAATCATTCATCAAATCATGCATGAACGGACGTGTCTTGGCGACTGCCGACTGGAGCAGTACATGCAATGCCGCGTGCGTGCTTGCTTGGATCCCTACCCCCCACCCCCTTATTGGGATCGGGACTCCGTACGGGACACGTACGACTTGCGGCCGGTTTAATTACACAAGCACAGTGTATGTGCTGTCCTAACACACACACTGGCAGCTGCACTAGTTAGTTTCCTGTACTCGCCCTATAATGACATGGCGGCTTCCCTCCTATGCCCAGGCGGTGGACATGGCAACAGGATTGGGCATCGGTGACGACCGCAATAGCAGCAGCGGCAATGGAACTGTCGTGCGCTTCAGTGGCGTTGGCGACGGTGCAGGCATGACAGCAGCGTGGCAGCTGACGCCCGCGGCCAGCGGTGATTACCTCATCCATATCGAGGTGATTAAGGGGCTTCATGCCGTTGATCTCTGTCGTCGCTTCCTCAAGCCGTGGCGTTGGGTTAGGTGCTGATGCAAACAATAAACAGTGCGGCAGCATGCCGTGTGTGTATGAACGGAAATGAATGACCGTTACATTGGTTCCCTTGAAGGGATGAACCCGATGTCTTGTACGTGCATGTTTGCCAGCTCCGGTGTACGACCGAGTAGCCTTACTTCCCTGTGTTGTTGCTTGTTAATAGGTATCGTGGCTTACTGCTTGCTTGGGGGCTACCGAAAACCAAACTAATAACTAACCCACGTTCTGTATGGTATTCGGCAGGTTGCTGGTCACGAGTGGTATCGATGGGTTATGGTGGACCTCGAGCCTCCGCGTCTTGATGGATCATTACTCCTGGTAGATACAACAAACACCACCGTCATCGTTGGCGAAGGCGTGACGACAACAGCTGTGCGCTACCTGATCGCTCAAATTAACATGACGGAACCGGTGCAGCCGTTCAACATGTCAGAAATCATACAACTGGGGGGAGGTGCGCAGCTCGTGAGCACGCAGTGTTTCACGTCCTCAGCCATGGCATCTGAGATGGCAGCCGTTTTAGCCACTGCCATGACATCTGGTGCCATGACATCGTTACCATCCACACCGCCGATTGCAGCTGCCCAGCCGGCTCAGCCGCCAGAGCCAGGTCTGGCGTCCCCGCCCCCACATGTGGTCACTGTTGGGCAGAAGGTGCTGCCTAGCGACCCACGGGTCGCGGCGGCACTTGCATCAGGTCAACCCTTCATCCAATCGTGCGTGGCAGTTGTGTATGCGCTCGAGGCCAGCACTCCCACCGTTACAATTGCAGCAGGAGCTGTCAAGGATGTTATCGGTAACCCCACCGTAACGTGAGTCCATAGTATACAACCTATTTGATGATAGTTTACTTGTATACAGCCGGTTACTCGTTACTGCGTCCTGCACAACAGCTGCTGCACCCGGAAGCACCACAAACACCTGTGTCGAAAAACACTGGCCAACATACACGCCTGTGTGCATTTATTTAGCTGTGCTCGGCCGCTCGGCAAATGCGTGCCAGGCTGCTGCATGGCCTCACTCAGGCTGGCATCTTTCCCATGTGTGTTAACCACCTACCTAGGCTGGCTTCATTGCCAAACGCAGCCTTGCCGACTAGCCTACGTATGACGCTGCCCTTATTATCCATCCCAGGCCGCTTACCTTATCCATGGAGCTCCCTGCACCTCCGGTGGTCATCGCCGCCAGCCGCGCAGCCATGCCCGTCTCCGCAACGGTTGGCGGTGTCTTCGCGAGCGTTGCGGTCACATCCGCGTCCGCCTCTTTCATGTCGGCCATCTCTTCCGTTGGGCCGTCATCCCTGCTGCAGAGCGCCTACTCTGTTCAGGTACACTGCGAACGCATGAGACCTAGCGGATAGCGGCATCATGTCCCGTGCATCTGACACAACCCTTACAACCAACGTTGCCGCACTCAGACCTTGCCCCGCATGCCTCAACACCTCCTTCCCCACCTACGTACTCAGCCTGTACTTCTGCCCTCCCACCTGCTGCCGTGCGTGTCGCTTGCGCAGATGCTGGCGCTTACCAGGAATCTCTCATCCCCGGGCATCAGCGCGCTCTACCGCAACGTCACTGGCTACCTGGGTTGGTCCATTCTGGGCTTCAAGGAAAAGTTCCCGTTATTTAGTACCACCAAGCAGACCGTCAACATGACAGAAAAGGTCCTTACAGAACTTCAGCTAAGCAAAGCGACAGCCGACGAGGCTACGACCAGCAGAGGCGATCCGCCGACGGTGACAGCTTTGCCCCCTCCCCTGCTTGTGCGGGCCTCCCGAAGACAAACCCTCGACCTTCTGGCCTCTGTGTCGATGCCAATGTCTGCATCGGACAGCGTTCCTCCCGCCGCTGTGGCCCTGCTGGGCTCCTCTGCAGCCAGCACCGGCACCAGCACCAGCACCAGCCGTGACGCACTGCTGGCCTGGCTTCAACGCGTAGGCGCAATGAAGGAGAGCGGTAGCAGCAGCGGCAGCAGCGCTTACGTTGTGGATGGCGCCGCCGCTACGATTGCCGTAAACAGCACTAGTAGCATCAATGGTAGCTTTGTGCAAGCTGAAGGCCTGAGCCAGCAGGCGTACCAGCAGCCTATTGCCGCTCCGCCACCCACAGCAGATGGCTCTACACTGCAGCAGTTTGTGTCCGGCGGCAGCAACGCCAACAGCAGCACCGGAAACAGCAGCACCAACAGCCTCCTGGGCGATGCCGTGGACGCGACGTTGGTTGTAGATGTACAAGACCTGCTGTACACACTCGTTATTGCGGCAGGCGTTATGGCGGTTCTCGTTGTGTGCCATCTGGCGGTTATCGTGCTGTTCAAGCTGGTGATACGGAGGGAACTGCCTCACATGCTGCAGTTCCCTCGCGCGGAGGTTGTGCTGGCAGGTAAGAGTGGATGGGTCGGGAGCTCGGGATGCGGATAGGTGAGGTGACGCTGGGTCTGCAAGCGATGCTATACGACATGCCACAGAACCGTTGCACCCAAGACCACATCGTAGTTCAGTGGAATCGGCAGGGAGGTTGCACTGCCAATGCAAGATCCATCACTATCACAATACCTTGCTTCCCTATATCCCTCCACCTACCTGCCTTCGTCCGTCTACCGGTATCTCACCCGCAGGCTTGCTATTGGTAGCCATCACCTTCTACTCCTTCGTGGCCCTGGGCAGTTCCATAAGCGAGTGGCGTCAGGGCCGTGTGCCGGCGCTGCTTGTGTTGGGCTTCGTGGTCCTGCCGTACTGCTTGGCACTCTGGTGGCTCACTGTGTGCCGATGGTACCTGAAGGCCAAGGTGCGGTGATAATCGACGGGCGTGATCGCTGTTTTTTGCAGTTTGCTCTCTTGGCTTTAGCATGCATTCACCAGCTTGGTAGTAAGCAAGCTGCTGTCGTACCAGACACGTCATCATGGAAAGATGTCGATGATACGTGTAGCACTAGCTAGCTCCCCATGCATGGTTAGCCCACCAGGGTGGGGCGGCATGTTGCAGGCCCGGACTTGAGCATTGTCTGGACTTGAGGATTGGGTTCTGGCTCACCTTGCTTGGCGCCATGCTGTGCTAGCTGGTTCAATACCAATCTTGTGTCTGCACTTGTCTCCACGGAATCCAACTGTCATAGCAAGTCCAGGTACACCACTTTCTTCCTGCCCTGTTCCTAGCGCCTTATTTCCGCCCTAGCTATGACCCATGGGTCTGAACCCCCTACCACTGTTTGTATGTGTTAGCCATCCACGCAGCGATCCGAGTTCAGCGTGTGGAGCACCTACATGGCCGACCCGCAGGCCACAACTTCCAACGCGTTTGCAGGTGTTATCCATGGTGAGGGCGGGAAGGGGTGGGGCGCGCACACCGTTGGGTGGTCCGTAGAAGAACAACCGAACTAGAAACCTACTACGAAGAAGGCAGTGCGTAGCAGCAGAGCCAAAACATCATTGCGAGTGCCCGTTATCCTCTTCGACCTGTAGCGTCTGCGTGCCTTGGTCTGTTCATGCCCACCCAAAACGCATCAACGCCTCGCATCTCGCAAGCAATCCCCCACTGCCAGGAAGCGGATTTCTTTACTGCGTGCACCCTGAACACTGAACCCATGCAGGAGCTACTGCCGATCCTAACATCAAGGACGGTTTGGGGCCCATCAACGTCACCAGATGCATGCGAAGCGATCCAGGCGGCGGCTCCGACGGTCAGTTCGGTGTGACTGCAAGGGTGATGCCAGGAGCCGGCGCACAGTTCGGTGTAAGCTCACAGTTCGGTACGACTGCTGCAATGGTGCCGCAAGGAGCCGGCGCGCAGTTCGCTGATACTGCAAAGTTGACGCCAGGAGCTGGTGCACAGTTCGGTGCAGGCGCACATTTCGGTACAACTGCAAAGGTAACGCAAGGAGCCGGCGCACAGTTCGGTGCGACTGCAAAGGTAACGCCAGGAGCCGGTGCACAGTTCGGTGCAGGCGCACAGTTCGGTGCTACTACAAAGGTAGCGCAAGGAGCCGGCACACAGTTCGGTGCGACTGCAAAGGTAACGCCAGGAGCCGGTGCACAGTTTGGTGCAGGCGCACAGTTCGGTGCTACTACAAAGGTAGCGCAAGGAGCTGGCGCACAGCAGTTCGGTGCGACTGCGAAGTTAACGTCAGGAGCTGGTGCACAGTTCGGTGCGACTGCAAAGGTAACGCCAGGAGCTGGTGCACAGTTTGGTGCAGGCGCACAGTTCGGTGCTGTTACAAAGGTAGCGCAAGGAGCTGGCGCACAGCAGTTCGGTGCGACTGCGAAGTTAACGCCAGGAGCTGGTGCACAGTTCGGTGCGACTGCAAAGGTGACACCAGGAGCCGGCGTAGGATCCCCCTACAGCGGAGTAGGGCCCAACGATAAATCGGACGGTTTGCAGCTGCCACTTCCCCCTATGCCGTCCGGGCAGTTCGACGGTGTTGTAGCAATAGGAGGCGGCACCCGTGCAGAGCAGGCGTATAGCACAGAAAGCGACGATGGTGCTGTTGTTTCTGTCGGTACGACCGGCCGAACCATTGCGCTGACTCCCTCGTCGGTGCCTCGAAAATCGGTGCTGGAGAAACCCGACATTGCCGCGTATGTGGCGAACCGGGCCACAAATGATGGTGGGCGAATAATGCCTTGCGGGTCCAGGGTATTGCGTTGCGGGGCTCCTTACCTTTATTGCCGAGCTGGGCCATCCCCACGTCAACTCCCTGTTCATGGACGTATGGCGTTTACCCCCCCCCAACGCTGTTGCGGACATTACTTTCTATCCGTCCATCTCATTATTAACACTCCCCGATTTCCTGGCCTTTGTACGCCCTTGTCCTCCCCAGGTGTTGTATCACTGCCATCGGTATCGGAGGACGCGCCCCAAGACTCCGTCCCCACCGGCTCCAAGCCCCTGCGCACAGAACCCCCGGCGGTCACCACTGCCTCCGTACTGCACGGCCGTGAAACCACCCGCTTGCTGAACTTGGGACCAGTATCGCGGCCGCGCAGTCCGGGCCCCTTCCGCGCAGGTGCCGGCATCGGCGCCACTACTGCTGGCACGTGCACCCCCAACACCTCACGCCCATGCAGCCCTGCTGGCACCCGCCAAGCAGCCTGGCCATCTTTAAGCAAGGACAAGAATAACCACAACAGCAACACAGCACCCCTTGCGATCAAGTCAGCCTCGGGCCTGCCACCAACGTCCACAGCTGTGACGGCCATCGCTGTCGCAAGCGGTTCGCCTAGCCGGCCTGCATCACCGCTTTCCTGCGCTAGGAGCAACGCCGCCTCACCGGTAATTCTGCCTCTTCCGCCTGCGGGCATGTCGGCAACAAGCAACAGCAGCCACCTCGGCACAGGGCGCCCAAAGCTAGAGCCGGTTGTAACGGCCGCCGGATGGCACCCATCCCGCATTAACCGCATCGGTGTGGACACCAGCAGCGGCGGCGGAGCGGCGCCTTCCCCAGTCGCCGACGCCAAGGAATACCTGGTCCTGCAATCAATAGGTGGTGACGAGGTTTACATGCCTGCAACTGCAGGCATGCAGCAGCAGCAGGCGGCCGGGGCGCTCGACCTAGCTAGGGATGTGACGCACAGTCCGGTGGCGCCAGCATCACCGGCCACCGGCGGCGGCGCCGGGCCTGCCGGCGAGCCGGCTAGCAGCAGCAGCCGCAGGTGCTATATGAGTTACAACCCCTTGGCCACGCCAACAGAGCAACAGCGGCCTGCTTCGCCTCGCAGTCCCCGAATGCTTGCTGCTGCTGGCGGTCCCGCCTTGTCACCGCTGGTGCGGACAAACACGGGGAATGCGTTGCTGGGTCGCCGTGGCGATGGCACCGGCAGCAGGCCCCTGGCAGAGTCTCGTGAGACACCGGAGGTTGCGGATTCAGCTGGAGCTGCTGGATATGGCGAGCCGATGGGTGCCATGGAGGATGAGGACGAGAAGAAGCGCCTGCTGCCAATGTACCCAGGTGCGGGTGCGGGTGCGGGAAACAAACCTGCCTATGAGAGCGTGTTTTACTGCGCACATGTTTACTGCATGAGGATAGGGTGCCCCGCGCACGATAGCGCCCAGCATTTGCTCGTCCGCGCAATAACCTGTGTGCTGCCACCCCCGTACACACACACCCGTAGGTAAGGACATTCCCCAGCGTGACATGTACTACGAGCCTGGCTGCTGGCCCTTGCGGCTTGGAATTGCACCGTCCATCGCCTGGATGGCACGCTTCGAGTTCCTTTTCGAGGACACCATCGGGGTAAGAGACATACGGAGACTTGCAGAGACATGCAGAGGACCCCCTGCAGCAGGGGGTGCGCATGGGTATCGGCAACAAGCAATCCGGGGTTTCAGGCCCGCCACTAGTAGTTATTACAGCACCAACAGGTTACAGATAGGTAGCCCAGCAGCTAGGCCGCTACATACTGCTGCTGCAGCGAACGGCATGCATGCCTAGTGAGTTAGTAGCTTGCCATCAGCTGCTTTATTTTGCGATATGTTGTACGGTGACGAGAGTCGCTTGCTTGCCACACAGAAGGGCACCCACCCAAACCAAACCAAACCATACCTCGCCTCCATCCCGCCGTCCCCTTCACAACTCTGCTGCCCCCGGCTCTTCATGCACACGCAGGAGCATGCCGAGCAAACCGGCCGAGAGACCAAGCCCATCCTGTCTGCCACCGCCGCCGTCTTCACACACAAGGCCCTCTGCGCGGCTGTGCTGGGAGCATTCCGCGCGCAGGCCCGCAGCGTGGCTCAGCTGAGCCTTCTGGTGGGCATGCAGGCGCTCATGCTGCTGTATCTGGCGGTTTGG